GAACTAAAATCTGAGCCCTTAATCAAACTTCTTAATACGGCAACCAAACTCAATACATCACATTTATCGTACAAAAAAGAATTATTTTATGCAACTAATTGTATTGACATTTTTAATAATAGATACAACTTATTGGATAAAACTTTGGACGAAATGCATCAATCATTCATTTATTATCAAAAATCGGCTGAATTGGAAAACGCTAGTGAAACAGATGTTAATAATGCTAATAATTTACAAATTAATTCCATTCATTGTAGCATCATCTGTGAAAAAATAGAAATTGACATTAAGGATGCAATTAAACCATCTCAACAATTAGAAACTGAAATTAAAGAAGCTTTGAAGAAAAACAATCCATATGGTGAATTAGAAAGAATTTTTGCAAAATACGGGAATGTTTTTTGCACAAAATTCTCTATGGGTGGAAGATTAACAAAACTAAACGGATTTCCGCTCACTGAACATGCAATCAAGTATGTGTCAAATAACATATTTGAAGACTTCGAAAACCATCAAGAAACTCTAAATACATGGATTAACCTTCTTGATCGATTTAAAATGGATAAAAATATGTATATCATAGAAGAAAGTTCAGCACACGCATTAGCAATTACAAATGATAATATTGATGATTGGGAAAAATCGGTTTCAAAGAATCTGGACTCTTGGCAAGTTGTTAATCGTCAGCAGTTTATACCTTTATATAAACTTTTCAAAGATAGTATTCAAAAAGAAATCGAGTTCTTGCATAGTAATGAAGTTAGAATTTTAATGACAGGAATTTCTAAACTTAAAAATAATAAAATTAGATACTATTATGAAAATTTTAATCAACCATTAGAAAGCGACGAATATCAAGTAATTGGATCTATAGTTTCTGATGGCTCAGAAGAAGTAAATTTATCAGTGAGCTTTCAAATGTTAACTGTTTCAGGATTTTCAATTGTTATTGAAGAGCTTGATAATAAAAGTTCAACAAAACCAATTACCAAGTTTGTGTTTTTATAAATATTCATATAAATTATATAGACCTCTAATAACGATTTATTATTATTTTAATTTTAGTGACCTGAAAGTTTGTTGGCAATTAATTGGAAATCCATTATCTGTTAAATACTTTAGCAAAAATAATAGAAATATCCGAGTTATAAGTGGCATTAAAAACACTATGTTTACGCAAGAAGAAATTGATCAAAGGATTGATATAGAAGAAATTGATCAAAGGATTGATATAGAAAAAACAGGAGAAAACTTTACGTCAAATTGTGTTATCGCAACTTCTTTTAAATTTTCTCCAATAAATTTTAGACCTAAACTTGAAGTAATTTTGAAATCTTGGTAATGTATGATAAAATTTGGTTGTTATAAACGATTTTGATTAGAGTTCTGTGTTTATTAACTAAAGTACACTGCAAATGTAGGTCAGATAAATGTATCAATTTAAATATCATTAACCACTCATTTGAAGAAATTAATAAATATTGTGAAAATAGACCTCTAGAATCTGAGAAAATTAATTGTAATTTGATATGGTATGTTATTTATACAACGCAGCCGGAAACATTTACTGATGATGAACTATATCGAATACCTTGGAAATATTTGGGTCAATGTCTCAACCAAGAGTTGTGTCTTGTTTCAAACTCAAAAAGCAATATGGAGACTTATGAGAATCTTTATCATGAAAAATTAGCTAATTTAAGCCCTTTTGAACTTGGATACAATTATCAACATGGCATTGGAGTTAAGAAAGATGAACATAAGGCATTCATTTATTATCAAAAATCTGCTAATATGCGGGACGCTAATGGAATGAATAATATTGGATATTGTTATCACAGAGGAATTGGAGTTGAAAAGGATGAACATAAGGCATTCATTTATTATCAAAAATCTGCTGAGATGGGCAATGCAAGCGGAACATATAATGTTGGATATTGTTATGACAAAGGAATTGGAGTTGAAAAGGATGAATATAAGGC